CTGCCTGTTAACCACCCAGAAGCTGCGGTTAACCACAGATTAATTGCCTAATGCCGGGGTGGCTGGCGTTCGTATGAATGAACACGTGGTGGCGGCCATTTTGTTTAGCCAAACGAGCTCACCGGTCGTCACACTCCTGGAACCGTTTTCGGCTACTAGTTTCACGAACACCGCTGAGCCTTCTGCCTTCCGTGCGTTTGGCTAAAATCATACGAACAGAGCGCTAATTTCAGTGAATAAACTGTCGAATGAACTGATTGTAATGAAAGTATGCACTAACCGATCCATTTGTGCAAAGTGTACTTTATTTGAAGGAGAATATAGACCGACCGCACAGCCTAAGTCTATGGAACTCTGTTGGGCAGGAAAGCCATGCTTGTGGTCTGTCAGAAGTGACTTATATCTATCTACCGAATGCCTGAACCAATTTGGGTGATTTTTAAATATGTTTGTCCCCTAGTTATGCTTGCTCGGAAAATGTAAGTTTTATTTGAATGTAATGTGTAAATTTGAAGTTATAAGAATTGTATCAAAACTGTATATTTTCCTGCCTGTCATAATTACTTTAGCCCATTGTGTTCAGTAATTATATCACAGGCAGAGGGGAGGATTTTGCTTTAATGAATGGGAGTGTCTGACTGTATTGTATGTGTTTGATTGGCTGTTTCACAAGACCATGTGGGTGGTACTGTGTGTGTAAAACTTGTATAAAAGGAAGCCTTTTGTGTGCATTAAACAGACCCTTTCTTGAAGCCTTGGCTCATGCTTGGGGAATGGGATAACTACACTCTAGGGATTGCTATTATCACAGGGTAAGCTCTTGTAAGAGCTGCTCTTGTTTCTCCTACGCTCTCTGGAGGAAGAGAGGTCTGCCCACTGGAAGCTGGATTCTGGCCGTGGGTCCAGGGTGGGTGAAGGACGGCGAGACCCTGTCACAGATGCATTGCTGGAAGTGGGGTCTGCAGTTCTGATGGTGTTGGTTGGAGTGCTTGGAGTCCTCGGCAAGCACTAGGAGCATCGATTGGCGGAGGTACTCGGTCGGAGTGCCAGCGGTCCATCACAATTTGTAACTATTGTAATCATCGCAATCACATGGCCCAGAAGGGCTGGATTGGCAGCAGGTGCACTAGCTGGGTTGTCTGGCAGTCCCCCTCATTTGAGATCGCCAGGAAAGGAAAGTATCCGGGCTGCAGGGGCTGCAGACGATTACGGCGTAATGACGCAATTAAAGCCATCCTTTTTCAGGACCACACAGAATGTTGTAACGATGTTTAGGGATTAACCTGCATCTAACCATAGAGTGATTTGACCCACTTCTAGATTATTTTGGAGATAGTCAATTTACTTAATTTATTTAATTAGGGGCTTTTCTCTATAGTTGGGCAATTGACCCCACTGTTGATGATATCTCAATCACCCATAGAATTAGCTGATATTGCTAATTCGCCCTCTCCTTTATTCAATTGTACGGTTTGGATAGGAAGTGATTGTCCCTCTCTCACTTCCAATATATATTGATTGACAGTTTTGAAACTGATATTGCCCCGGATCCCATCTGGGATCCCTGCAAAAAGCGAGGTGATCGAATGTACAGAGCCAGAGATATCAGCCAGAGATATCAGCAACCAAAATCTGGGGCTCGAGGCTCTGTACATCCCCGAAATTAGTTTCATGGTGTTGCTTGATTTAGTCCGGCGAATTCAAAATTCCCGCCTAAACCAAGCAACAACCAATCGGCTGTAAGGGCGCAAACTAAATCGCACCAATCAGCACCTGGGGGAGAAAGGAGATTCACCCAATCCAAAGAAAGGGCGTGTCTCTGAGCTTTCTTGTGATTGCAGGGGTTGGTGCTTGGCGGCCATCTTGGGCCCGACATGCGGTCTGCATTCCGGCCAAGGGATTTTAGGATGTGAGCCTGTTGGTTTCCCCAGCGGGGACCGGGATAATCCCCACCGGTCCAGGGGGGCGTGGGGTCATCAGGAGAGCTGCTGCTTTTTGTGGTCCCAATGGCGGGAGATCGTCCGCCTCTCCCGGCCACTAGGACACTTTCCACGTTAGCTGAACCTAATGGTTATTGGATTATAACACTAACACCATTATGTGACGGAGATACTGTCCTGCAATATTTCCGTTCTCCCATCTGTCACACCATTTCTTCCAATGTGGCAATGACTCTGGATGTGTCTATCACAGCGGATGAGCTGTCCACAGCAACCTACCCCTGTAGGAGAGAGGCCAGACAGACTTACAACTAAATATTACAAAACATTCCTACCCCCATAAAGAATACATTTATTTAAAACCTCATCCACAGTTCCGCTATGCCCGCCTATGCTTGGGAAAGATCCATCTGTGTATAGAAGTTAATGGTCGATTTCTCTCATAAACATTGATTTTACATTTTTGGCAAGATGCTAGTTCTGCAACACAAGCCCCTTTCTCCTGCACTGGTCCACTCTGACTAGTTTGGATTCATAGTAGGTAGGAAGGCCCATGAGCGGCTGGTGGGGGCCCTAACTAACAAAAGGAGGGGGGACCTATTGTCTCCCCCCCTCCAGCCCCACCCATAAGTGGTGGGTAGGGGTCATAAGTAGCAAAAGGAGGGGGGGACATATTGTCTCCCCCTGGCCCCCACCCATGAGCGGTGGGTGGGGGCCAAAAGTAATAAAAGGGGGGACCTATTGTCTCTGGCCCACATCCATGAGTGGCGGGTGGGGGCCCTATGTAACGAAAGGAGGGGGGCATCTATTGTCTCCCCCTTCTGGCTCCCACCCATGAGCCAGCCTTACCTTTCCATGTGTCCCCTCTGTATGTTGTTATGCTTGCTGGGCACTGTATTCAGTGTGCTCGTTTTTTTCCACAGGGTTTCTCACAGACTCTGACACATAAAGCCCCAGTGTCAGAGCCCCCTAAACTGTCAGAGATACAAATGGAGGTCATTTAGTTACTCCAATGGCCACAATGCTGCCGCCCATCCCATGTGTTCCCTAATAAGGGTTAATAAGTATATAGGGGTGTATATCAAATACCCCTCTCTGTCTCATTAGAGATATCTTTGCCAGAAGCTCATGAAAGCAAGGTGAAAGGTCAGTGTAGGACCCGCCTAGGGGGGGTCTGCCTTGACATTGGCAGGCAGGTAGGCATTCCTTCCAATGGCCATTGGAGTAACTAAATGACCTCCATTTGTTTAAAAATACATCGGGATTCTGGAGAGAGCACAGGTAACTTTGTTCTTTGGTTTTTAGTGTATAATTCTTTACTTACTTCCTCACTGTTACTAATTCTTAATTATAATTAATAAAAGTTAATTTTTAATCTGTTATCTGCATATCTTGGTCTGGGCAAATCTTTTATTTTTTTTATATATATTCTATATGGTTCTTTTGCTTTCTAAATATTTTGAATGTGATATAATATGCAGTATTATATATTAATATAGTCTTATATTGAAAATACATTTTGAACCAGAGGGTGAAAATCGAATCCCGCATGCAGCATGTCGCATGTAGCACCCACAAACTTAAAATGTCCATATTTTTTATTTTAAGCTTTCCAAATGACTGACCAGACATATTTCTTATGTATGAACCTTTTTCTTCATTAATTAGAATTTAATTTTTTTAAAACTGTTTTTGAACAATGTATCTTATTTGTCCATCCTCGATTATGGTATCTGTCACCCCGCACCACGTGCAACATGTCCTCTATATGTTATATATCTCCTTTAATGAACTCTGCTATTAGTTCACATTGCAAATGCTGTAGTTCTAAGCTGGTTCTTGCAGTGAGTCAATTCCTTGGATAATCTTTGACTTTAAAAAGAGGTGTAAGGGGGTGGCTGTATGCAAAGTGTCAGGGCTACTGGATATTAGATGGATAACAGAGCCTGAACCACTGTTTGGGTGCTGTAAACTTACCTTATTTATTTGTATGCTATTGGCCAGCTGGTAACCAGAGAGACACAGCAACTTTAGAGACAGAACGACAGTTGGCACAGTTAGAACCCTGGCATATGTACATGTCCTGCTCATGCAGGCACCCAGCACACCAGTCCTCTCTCTCACTTGGACTATGCTTAACATACTGTATTTTCTGGCATATAAGATGACTTTTTAACCCTTGAAAATCTTTTCAAAAGTCGGGGGTCGTCTTATACGCCGGGTATCGTCTTATGGCTGAAAGTTACCACAGTCAGCCATTACGTAGCCGCCACATGGAAGCAGCAAGGGCGGCGCTGTAGAAGAAGCCCTTGTATCCTATTACCATACCTCCTTCGGGATTGGAAAGCAAATTAAAAAGCATTAAAGAGTATGCCAAGGGGTAAGTGTGCATTAAGAAGAGGCACCCCACATTGGCCAGAACTCGAAAAACATGTAGCAGACATGGTGAATGAGCATCGCCAAAACGGTTATGTAGTGACACGAAATAAAATAAGTTTGTTTGCACTTTATTGGGCCAAATCTAACCCAGGTCACAGCAACAGATTTAAGGCCACTGTATCCTGGTGTATTAGATTCGTGGGAAGGCATAATATGGTACTGAGGCAAAAGACGAAAAAATTGCCCAGAAATTACCTGCAGATCTTGATAACAAAGCACATAGTTTCTATCGATACGTAATACAGCAGCGCACTAAATATGGCTATGCGTTAAGTAGTATTGGAAATATGGATGAAACTCCAATGAATTTTGATATGGTTGGAAATAAAACTGTCCATCAAACAGGTGAAAAAACTATTTTAATTAAAACAACAGGACATTGTCAGAATATTTATATCAGCAGACATTTTGTGCTAAGAAAGAAATTAAAAGTGTATATTGCCAGAGTCACTCAGAACAGAGCAGACTCCATTTTGTTATCTTCAGGATAACAAAGACACATAATTTCCTTGCTTTCACTAACCACTGAGCCTGAGCTAAGGAATGCATTATATAAACACAGACACTAGTGACAGAGAAGACTAAGTAACTAATTTTACTTTCTAAATTTTACAAGGTTCCATTGTAAGTAAGGGATGAAATTGAGTTTAGAACTGTCAATTTTAGAAATTACAATCAAAGTAGTTGCCACAAAGACTGAGACAAACACGTTGAACTGACAGCAAATCTAAGTTATGGTAGTCATTTTAGATAAGCCAAATGACGTCAAAATCGTCATCAGGAAAAGTTAACTCTTTTCTGGATAGGAACGTTTAGTTAGGCAAGACTGCCCTCTATGGATCAAATACCTAAATTGCGATCCATAGATTGGACACACCTACGGTTTCCTATTGGCTTTATCAACTAATGACGTACAGAGAGTCTGGCCCTTTAAAAGTTAGGACAAAGGAAGAGAGAGGTTAGTTGGTAGAGAGAGGGAGTTGGAGTTTGGGCATTCAGATTCGGACATGGAGAAAGAGACTCAAGAAACACTCTCTGGGACTAACACTCTACTCTTAAACTCTCTTGGACACAACTCCTTGACACTTAGAATTTTACTCTGACTTTCTAACCAACACCACTTTTCTCTATCACTCACGCACCTCCATACAACCAATCAACTTCCTGGGACTACCTACTCATCTGATGAGAATATCTACATAACTGGTAATTATGCTGGTTTTATTTCATTAATTTAAATTAATTTAAATTTACTAATAGCATGATATATGATTGGATAAATCACGGTCAGATTTCCATATTTAGAAATCTTAGTTAACTAAAGAATATATAGTTATAAACATTCCATTCTGCAGGTGGAATTAAGAATAATTATATATTAATGTGATAGTGACCGCTGTTTTTATCCAGGTGTACTGATTTGCTCTAAATAAGATAAGATATCTTTTTAGGCAAATTAAAATTCGGCTTTTGTAAAAATCTGGTAGATTATTCTTATTGGATGGTTCCAGGAAATGATTAATGAGCTGGTTCGAATGTTATTTTAATTGAAAATTACATGAGAATAGGATACTATATGCCTAGGAGGATCTAGCCAGCATTGAAAGGGTTACTCAGTTGATCTGTTAGCCAAGGTTTTACTCTATGTGAAGTTTGCTTTCTGTGTCTGCGAAATACCTCATTAATCTTGTCTTGACAGTTGATGCTCTAGCTTTGTAATGTGTTTAGCCATTGCCATTGTATTACATACTTATGTTATACTAAATATTCACTGATTATTATCATGCATGCTGCCTAATATTATTGTTATTTAATTTATCACAATAAATTAAATCTATTTTTATAACAAATTGTGATTTTATGGAATACATTTCACTTACATGATAAACGATCTCTAAGATCTAAGAGAATTGAAATAGTGGGCAATTCTCGACTGTTTAATATTATCATCCCATAAATTTCCCCACATATTGGAGGCACACTGCTGAGATCATTAAATTGAAATTATATTCCATACAATAATTCTGAGGCGTTGCTATTGAGTAATTAATGCAATATTAATCTTGATATAGAAGAGAGTTTTGTATTGAGATTAAATCAGTGTATAGAAATATGGCCAGCGATCCATCTGTATCAGACAATGCTGAAATCATTGAAAAACTAAGAATAAATACTCTAGTCAATATTCATAAACATATGAAGAATGATTTATGCTATGAAGATTGGTTGAAGGGCACAGAATGGGAAGCTAAACTAACCATTCTAAATGATGCACCCATAATAACATATCTTAAAGAAATTGTTGGACAAACTAACATAGAAAAAAAAAATGGGGTTCATCATACACTCTTGGCCTTTCTTTATAACTGGACTTCTGAAGGCATTAGATGAAAACAAGGTACTGAATGCCAGATTGGTCACATACAGTGGCGATCTGGGCATTCAAAATGGGAAATACCAAGATTTACTTGCTGAGCATGAAACCCGTCAGGCTGATCATGAAAAAGAATTGAAAGCTTTGACGGATAAATATGCACAGGAAATAAGTCAGCTTAAAATGCAATTGGATGAGTATGAAAAGGAGAGTCAGAAAACAGACAGTGAGGTTAGTAGTCATCATTGTGTGCCAAAAAGTTGCACAAAAATACAAGAAAGGACTATTTGTAAATCCCCTCCTTATTATGATTTTCCCACACCAAACCAGGATTTCATAAAACAGTCTCAAAGAAAAGATGTGAGTAATTCAAAAAAATCACCTGTGGAACAAGATTCCCCATCTCATGACATTACCAAGCCACCTTGGAAATCTTGGGCAGAACAGTTTGAAAAGACTGTCTTGGCCAAACTTGAGAGGGAGAGTCCAATTCAAGGTGATAGGAATGAAAACAGACATGGTTCTGTACACTAGCAGAACTCTGATGCTGATCAGAATTGTGACAGTGAACGAGAAGCTCAGAGTGATGGGAGTGAAAGTGATTGCACTGTCCACTCTGAAGGCCATGTGAATGATATGCCATCTGCACTGTTGACGGATCTAATTCCTCTTCAGCAGCCGGATCGCATAGACATTTACCAAAAAGAAGGGTGGATAGAAACAGGATTAATAAATCAAATATGCCTGTTTATGAAACACCAAAGGTTATTAAATTCCTTAAAGAGACAGTCCCACAATTTAGAGGTTCAGGAAACATATCTGAACATCTGGAAAATATGAAAGAGCCATGAATTCATTGGGCATGTATGATGAAATCCAAAAGAAATGGTTCATTACATGGACCTTTGATTCAATGTGCAGTGTTTATCTAGAAAGTCTTCAAGCTATACAGCTAATGTCCTGGTCCAAGATGAAATATGAAATAATCATGGAATATGGTAAGTATAAAACCATTGCTTCTGCAAAGAAGGCGCTTTATAACTTAAAGTGCCGTCCAGATCAAAGCCCCAGAGAATTTTTAATAATTCTTAAAAATGCATACTCCGTGGCCCAAAGAAAACCCAGGTATGAAAGCACAGACTTCAAAGATCTGTATTTTCATGCCATGCCGGTAAACATACAAATGAATCTCGCAAGAGATTATGATTGTAAGTTAATATTAGAATGGCTAGTCAGTCAGTGCATGAAATTGTATACTAAACACCATGCACATGACGAAAATCAGCCAAAGGTTAAGAAACCTGGTGATAAAATGGTGTCAGAGACTAAACTTCAGTTAGGTTTAGAAACCCAACAGAAAAAGAGGATCTATTCTGAGGTTTTGAAAACACCAAAACCTCAGAAACAGGAAAATGCCAGAAATAATCCTGTAAACTCCTCTGATAATAACTCTGAGAAGTCCAATGCCAATGGGAATAAACGCCCCTAGGTTAATAAGAACCAAGGCAATTCCCAATGGAGAAGGAATCCTCTGGGAAATAGGAGATATGGAAACAGAAACAACCAATCTGCTTCCAGTAACTCCCAACAGTCTCAGCCATCCCAACCAAATTCTAATGGGCAAAAACAAAATGGTAATGGGGGAAATATTTTGCGTCGTCAGGTTGGTCAATTGACCGACCAGATGGGCAAATTAATGGAGGAAATGACAAAGATTAACCAAGTCTTTGCCAGAAATCCTTTTTTAGGGATAGCTCCAATTGCAGAGCCACCTGTGCAACTTCAGCAGCAACAACAGGTGCCGCAGCAATAATAGCCACTGTGACTAAACAGGCTAGGTTGTCAGTAGATGTGATACCTAACCCTGTTTCCTTTCCAGGTACTAATAGTCAAACCAGGGCCGGATTGGGAAAATAATTCGGCCCGGGCATTTTTTTATCACAGCGGCCCACTTAGAAGGGGGCGGGGCAGAGAGGGTGTGTTTTGTCATCACTCATGACAAACATGCCACCTGTCAAAGTGAGCATGTTGGTTCAATGCTCTTCCAGGGAAGACCATGTGCAGAGCTCTGCTGAAGAGCTCTAGCATGAGAAAAAAGCCCTGTATTTGTTCTGCACAGTGCAAGCAAATTTAATAACATGCTTGCACTGTGTTTCCTTGCAACTTGTCTCTGGTGTCTCTATAAATGGATACCAGGAGACAAAAGGGCCAGGAAAGAGTATTGTGCATGTGTTTGGAGCCTGCTTGTGGTATTGCGTGTGTGCAGAGTGAGCTGGTCGTGGTGTGGTATTGTGTAATAAGGTTGGTTTTAGTCGTGTTGTGTTTGTGGTGTAATGTAATGCAAATGTGGCTAGGGGCTGTAGAGAATGTGTGTATAGGGGATGTAGCAAGTGTGTGCATACAGGCTATAGTGTGTGTGTGTATAGGTGATGTAGTGTTTGTAGAGAGTGTGTGTTCAGGGAATGTAGTGTGTGTTTGCTTACAAGGAATCTAGTGTGCGTATAGGGGATAAAGAGTGTGTGTATATATATATATATATATATATATATGAGTCTTGTGTGTGTTTGAAGGACCCAGACTATGTATAGGAGATCTAGTGAGCGTGCGTATATAACGGATTCAGAGTGTATAAAGGGATCTAGTGTGTGTATGTGTGTAGAT